TTATAGTTTGTATATCTCAAATTAGTGGTTCGAATGTGAATCCGATTATTGAAAATTCACTGTAGACAACTCATGGGATAGGTTTGTTCTTTGAAACGTCAATTGAAAACCTTACAAAGACCAAGTTAGAAAAGTCAATAATACACAGTTCGATGCGTTTTCATCTCCTCTTTCTACCAATGAAAACCACAGTTCACTATCTTGTTTTTATCAAATTTTATTCAAAAAATACTAATGAACATTCATGTCCATGCTACCAACAAACATGTGAACGAAACAGATCTTATCGAAATTTTATTATTATAATACCAGTTGAATAATGATCAAATAGCATGAAAAAATAGAGTGAAAGTCGCTCTATCTATTCATAAAAAAAGAAATTGTTTTAAAGCTTTCTATAAGAAAATAAAGTACCTCCGCTACTACTTTTGGATTGCCCTAAGTAAATGTTGGGATTATTAGTGCACTCATTTTAGTATCATCAGAATAGAGATTTTCAGGATAAGCTTTTTTCGTACCCTGTATCCTGACTGAGAAAAATTCTTCTATCCGTACCCTATCAAATTGAAGTCATTTTTTGTGATTAGTTAAGAAAAAAAACATCAGATTCGTCCAGCAAAAGATTTAAATAAGTTTATTTTCAGTATTTTATTCATCATCATACGAAAACTAAAAACTATTTTTTTAAAGTCTAGAACTGGTTTATTTTTAAATATATAAGTTTAATACATTTTCAAATGCATATTGTATGAACAAAGAAACAGGCATGCTATAGTTAAAAGTTCTTCTACTCACATAAATTACGCATATTTAAATAGCTTTCTCTAACTGTGTTTATTCCTTTGCGCAGTAAATTCTTTATGACGATGAAATTTATGCGCTCGATAAAGTTTAAGTTTTTGAAGAAAATGAATGAATCTCTTTGGGTATTCATGACAGGCCGTGTGAGGTACATCACGATCACGCACGCTAGTGCGCTTACCGAGTTTGGCAGATTAACCCAGTGGTTTAAAAATTAACCAATCAGCATAAATGAAGAGAAAATCGTAATTTCTCAGTCATTTCTTGTAAAACTGTTATTGTATATAGTAGTTTGATGGTTGTTTTTTTATTTTCAAATATGTTCTTCTCTTTTCATTCGGCGATCTTGTTGGAAACTACAATTGTTCTTTTGAATATATTCACATCCTTTGAATTTTTTTTTCGTCGTATATTTTAGATGCTTTTTTATTCCAAGTTAACTGTAGAGTTTTTGTGATAGAATGAGTTTATGTGATAAAATGAAAGCATCTATTTCTGATTTTCTTTTTGTTCTTGTATTGTTGAAATGTCATGTCTTTTTTGTGAACAAAAACACTTTCAACCTGCCAACGAATGTCCTTTTTATGCACAATAAAACTATTACTTTTTTAATTTCTACTATATTTTTGTCTTCAATCTTTCGATTACATATATATATATATATATGTACTTTTCCTTCTTCTAAGCTCGACTGTTCTGTATTAAGATTTATAGTTAGTATTTATATCAATACCTTCTATTTTTTTTTTTGCATGCAAATTTTTTGTTTGTTTTTCTGAAAACAAAATTGCTATAGCCCAATCAAGGTTCTGAGTTTTTGTTTCTCAATGTTATTCTTTAAATTTATCTTGTATGAATTATCTATTTCGATATTCTGTATTACCTAATCCATGTGATTTGTAAATGAGTAAAAAAGAAACTCGTGCAGTTTATGAAACTTGAACACTTTCCTATCCATTAGGATTTTCGTTATTAATAAAAGATACTGAAGTCGAAAAAAAAATTAAGGTATCAATCTTTTAATTCTTTACAAGAGAATTGACTCAAAAAATGAGCTAATCGAAACTTGGACCAATCAGACTTTGGGATTGGCACAATGTAATAATCGATGCACGTGAAGCACCGAAGAGTACGAACCAGCATAGGTAATAGTCTTGAATATTTAAATTGTAGACGACAAAAAAAAAATTTATTTGTTTTAATGATAATCTATATGCATAAAAGCTGAAAAAGCTAAACATTTTACTCTGAAGCTTCAACGCCGACGCAGAAATATAGTAAAAGAAGTCTTCTCAATATTTTTGTTGTATTGTGATATAGATACTACTAGTAACAGCATTGTATCTTTAAATCGAGTCCAAATGCAAGAATTATTCTCGTCAATGATGTTCAAAGTATATTATGTTAACAATAGATTTTTACTTTATTTGTTCTATAAGTAAGTTCACTGTTAAAGAGTTAATAATATCAGTACGATTTACAATGATAAGATGTTTGTTGATATTTTCAATTCAAACAACTAATAATAAGATCAGTAATTAAGATATACGAAATTTTCCCATTACTCACAAAGTTTTTCATTTATTATATGAATCTTAATAATTTGAGTAAAATTTCGCCAACTATAGAAGGAAACAATAAATTATTAATACTACTGTTCATATGACTCAAATGATAGAATTTATAGGATAATACAACCAGTTGTTGAATCACATGAAACAGGTTATTTTACTACGTAGGTTGTCATATAGGCAGGCACATTCATCTACAAGACATTTTTCTCAATGATGACTGAACATGTAAATAGTTAGAAGGCGTTTATTGCATATAAAAAGCTTGATTACAATACTAGATATAAAAAATAGTTTGTTTATTTTAGTATTAATATTGATATTCGCTGTTCCGTTAGCATCTTACTACCAAACGGCATACCCATAAGGTGCGTCATATGATGCCAATGGGTAAAAATTTGGCGGACCATAGTGAACAGCGCCATAATGATGATATGAACTTCCTAGCCGATAAGGCTCCCATAAACCACCAGCAGGAACTATAAAAGATTAATAACATATATATATATATTTAACATAAAGAAAGTTCATTAAACATACGGTAACCACCAACAACAGGAGCTGCAGGAATAGGAGCTACAGCTAAAGGAACAGTTCCACCGACATAAGCCATGTCTATTAATATGTTGTAACTGAAGATTGAAATATGTAAACGTTTGTTATTATCTTTAGCTTCTCATGCTCCCTATATATATATCTAACTCTGATATACGTCATGAATCGATCATGCATGAATAATGAATACACCCACAATAGAATAAAAAAAAAACATAAAAATATCACCATCTATCTATTCAAGGATATTGAGTAAATTTTACTAGGCAATGCGTACTATTTAGTATATAAATATCTGCCAAAGCTAATAAAAAACAATAGATGGTGAAAGAGTGAAAAGCAACAAAAAAAAATAATACTTTCTATTTTTATAAATTAGTGCGGATTTTTTATTGTCGTACTTCAACTCAAAAATACTCTATAATCGTTGGTTTTGTTGTCAAAGATTTGCTTCATCTGCTTTTTTTTTCATTGAAAATGGGCCTTTATAGAATGAAACTTAGGCTTTTTTTATATCTGTTTATTGTAATTCAAATTAAAGTTTTCTTTTGTTTTTTACATCCATAATAGTTACTTAAATGAGTTGAAAACTCTTTTCATAGCATGACTGTAATTTTTTTATGCATCACAACAAGTCTATGGTTTCATTGTTAAATATATCATTCCAGTATTATTTTCCATTGCATATTCTACATATTTGGCTTATAAATTTATGATAGTACTAGAGAAAAAAAAAGTGTATCTTCGTAATCATAGATTTTAATCAATTAAAATGGATGTTTTAAACTATTTTTCATGTATTTTTATATTATTTAAGCCCCCCCCCCCCCTCCCTAAAAAATCGATCATGGCCCAAGTACATTCAAATCGTATGAAATTTTCACGATATATTAAAGCTGTAGTAGAGGTTAAGATAAAATTTACACTCCTATACTATGATATTTTTAGGCAATATACATATAGACATAATTTTTTGTTTGTTTGAAACAGTATGTTTAGGATACAGAACATGACAAAGGCTTGTTGTTTTAAATTCCTACTTTTTTAGGAGAGAAAAGTTCAATGTCTTCAAACTGGTATACTAATTATAAAAGTACTCTTTTATATAATAGTAACAGTGTTTCATTCAAAAAGCGAGCTTTGTCATCTTTTGAGTCTTGACATAGTCTTTCAGAGAAAAGAAAGCGTCGACATTGACTACAATAAAGTTCTTTCAAGAATTCTGCAATGTATGATCAGAAAAAAGCCAAGTGCCAAATAAAAAATCGAAATACTTTTTTTTTTAGGGCGAAGGAGAGTTTAAAAGAACGTCTGCTAATTATAGAACCTTTTTTTGTCAACCAAAAAAAGAAAAGAGAAATTGTCCTGCGCAATCGTACAGCTTTTTCGTATTTGACTTTGTAAATGTGTTTCAACAACGCTAATTTGTTCTTTCAGTAAATCATAAACCATCGACTGATGAAGAATTCGGAATTATCTTGCAGATCTTTGTTTCCATCTTTCAATAAATCTATCATTATTTACAAAAATAAATTTTTCTACATCATTTTATTAATATTCAGAATTATTTTTTCACAATACAACAAAAAGCAACAAAACAATAAATTCAATTTATTGTATATTCCATTGATATTATTGTTGTATCAGTCTTCGTTTAATATCTTCTAATTCATTTTGTAAACTTAATGCTAGTTTTCTCATTTCATTATTTGTTCGTATTCCTGATTCTTCAATAGCATCACGTATATCATCTGTTTTTCTAACTAAACGTGTATGTTCTTCTTCATTAAATAGACTATCATTACGTGTTATATCTTGATGATAATAATAACCTGTTTCTGTTTGTATCTGTTCAAATATTCCAATATTTCCTAATGATGATGATATTGATTGATGAAATATGATAGGTTCACGTCTTTTTAATGGTGATAATGGAGAAAAATATGTTGGATGAGTATTATGTGGAATATTTGTTACATATGAACGTATTTCAAGTTTACGTAAATGATATTTTATTGGAATAAGATTTAATTCTTCCCAAAAATTCATTAATCGAACATTTTTAAATAATTTTCTTATTATATTACCAATTGTTTCACAAAATCCACCTAAACGTGCTTGAAAACCTAATACAACACCAATACGTGCTCGTAAATGTTCTCGTTTAGCATTTAAACGATATTCTTTTACATCAGCTACTGCCAAACCACCCTAATAACAAAAAACAATTTCTCTTACAGAAAAAAATATGAATAAAAACATTTTTTTTTTCTTACCATTATATTCATCATAACGACAAACATAGTGAATATATAAGCACTGTAAAGTATTAGTGCACCTTCTGCACCAGGCATTAATTTATTATCTGGAAAAAAAGTTCCACCCATATCATATTCTCCAATAAACATAACTAATAATTTTGGTACAAAATTGAAAAAACGAAATTGTTCCATTATATCTTTACATAACATATAAAAAGCTAAGATATAACCAATCCATATCATAAAATAAACAGCAATAAATTTAAGAAATGTTACGAATACAGTTATAAATAAAAGACCATGTTTACCAAATTTAATACCATTCATAACAATTAATAATAAAGATGTCCAAACAGATAATAGACCAATACCACCAGCCATCCATTGAGCTGAACAACGAATCCCTGTTTGACGTGTACATTCATTTACATCGACTGAATATATAATGGCACTAACCTATTGAAAACAATTTATTATTTTGTATTATTCGAGATGAATTTTTAAATTATTTTCTATTAATCTATTACAGATAGGATTGGTTTGTTTTGATGAAAATAAGAAGCAATTCTATATCTACTTAGGGCATATACTAAAAAATTGTTTTCAAGTTACTCAAATTTCAAATATTTAGGAATTTTTTCCTACAGGCTACCAGTTTTAAAGCGAAACCATACTTATGAGTTTTGACCTGAAACTTTGTTCAGTTAAAGGCATTGATTAGACTAGTTTATAGAAAAAGACTTAGAATTTTTCAATCAAGTATCTCCGAGATATGAAAATATCCATGTTTTTTTTTTTACAATAATCATCACACAGCGCATATATTTTAAAACATTCATTTATTGAAGAGACTTACTGAAAAATTTTGTGAAATTTCTTCTGTAAACTAGTCTAATTAGAGTCTTTATAGGAATAAAGTGGCTGATATGAGTTATGGTATTATTAAACGAAGTATTGTTTTGCTATCTGAAGCTTAAAAACAAAACTTCTGCCCACTGGGTACTCAACGAGCCGAACGTATTCGGCTTTGTTAAAAGAATTTGGCAAAATTTCAGCAATGAACATAGTTATTATGTGATATAGTGACGAATCATAATTTTATCAAAAACACGTTGGTCAAAAAGCATTGGATATTGCCTAGAAACCAATTGGAGAAACTCCGTTTACCATGGTTTGATGCAGTCGGTTTGCTCCAAAATCTCTGTTTTACATCTTTTTCGAAACTATTGGTTCTGTATCAATTCAATAAGTTTATTAAGAAAAAATCATCGCTATAACATGGATAATTTCTTGGAACTTCTCACAGGAAATAAAAATGTTTCAAACTATCTCAAATTGGAAATTATTCAACAACGAGAGAATTCCCTAGGCATGACGTCATATTATTTTTAGTTATTCGGTGTGATCAAATAAAATGTAATTAATCGAAGTAATTCACACTCATTGCACTGTAACCTAATCAAGGTTACGCACTCGGTCAACAAGGACAATTATAACACAAAAAAAAAAACTTTCGATAAAACCTCTGAAGGAACGCAGATGCATATAAATAATCCGAGGAACTTTTTGAAACATTTAATGAAATCAAATCAGGAATAACTTGTTTCTGTATTTTATTTTTCCGAGAAATCTCATTACTTTGGATGTGCCGTAAGTACTAGCACTGTTATGACACAAGAATACGATAAAATTATTATTGAAACATGTTATCAATATATATTTCAAATAATTTCATTAATTCTAATGTGACTGACAATATTATAATAGCTTACTAACAAAAATATCTCGAAAAATACTTTTGAAACTTAAGTTTATATTAATTTGATACAGAATGTGTAGCTCTACAAAACTTTGAACTGTATTCCTTTAAACAAAAAAGAAGAACTTTCTCGCTTGCATAAAACTTAAAGAGTTGACATTTTCTCAACTGTGTGACAACAAAAAAAACGACAATTTTGTATGTTAATATCGATGAAACATGAGTTATGTAACAACATGTTCTATGTAAGGCTGATATCATTCAGAAACAGTTTTCTAATATTATGACAGTAAATTCTTTAGAGATAATATGTTGCTAGAAACAATCTTTCACAATGCATTCAAAGAGACACACATATATTAAAATACTATACCGATTTCATATGAAATTATACGAGAAAAAAAATATTCGAATTTCTATAGAAATAGAGTACAGAATTCTTTCTATTAATATCAAATACTCAATGTATAATAGTAAAATTGACGAGCACTAATCTATATAAATTAGTAAAACGATTGAGGAATTATTAATCGTTGTGAATTTTGTAAACAAGAAAATTCGTTCTCAAAAAAAAAAAGATAATTATTTTCAGAGCAACAAGCTCTGTATAGAGTCATTTATGCTGTACAAACTACCGGTTCATCATGGCTCTTCTGCTTGACTTTTTCTTATCTCTCACTACATGAATATTTATAAACTCTTAGAAAAATTCGCGCTTTCTTTTCTCAGTAAGCACACTCAAACCGCCTGTGAAAAGCACATCGGCTGTTTTGAAATTTGATTATTTATTCAAGACAGAAAACATTAATTTAATGATAAAACGGAGTAAACCATTCGACCCTCAGGTTTTGATGAAAACTGGACAACATGAGTAGCTCAGTTATCTAGATACAATCATAAGATTCTTCTCTTTCATAATGCATTTCTCTTATTCTCGTTTGCTCTATGATTAAACTTATGCGTTGTATATTTCCTTTTCTTCTATCTCTCAAGTTCTATGAATTTTCTCCAGCTATGAAACTTTCTTTTCAAAGTTAT